CTGCTTCTGCTCTGCTATGGGTCTGATCTGGACACCTGTGTAGTGTAGGACTCACAGGCCCTGAAGCACATACTGTCTTTTTTGCTTCTTCTTTCTTTGTGGTAGAGAGATTTCCATTTTTAGTCTCTGAACCTGCTCTATTTAAATTTGACAGGAAGGCATGTCTCCTTCTTAGTGGTTTACACACCTTATTTGAGTCCTCTTATCCAAAAGGTGCTCTATACCTTATTCACAGTATCATCACAGTCTTAGCAAGCTATCCAATTCCACTGGGGACACATGCCACCCCCAACATCTGTATAGTCCTTGCCAACCATAAGGAAGCTCTGGTGGCCTAGTGGTAAGAAGCTGTGCTGCAATTCCAAAGACATGTGGTTCAAGCCCATGAGCTGTTCCATGAGAGAAGGAAGGGCAATCTCCTCTCCTGCAATTTACTACCTGTGAACACTTGCTGGAGGGTAAGCTATGGGCTGGTTTCAGTTCAACAGCACAGAACAACAAGTCAACCATAGGGGTGAAAGTCAAAGCCAATGGCTAGAAAAGCCACACTGAATAATCCATACAGCCCAACAGTTAACACCTGGAGCTGAGTGTGTGCTGGACATTCTTTTAAGTATTTTATGTACATTAACTTATTCAGTCCTCACCACAATCGTCTTAGGTGAGCTCTGGTGGCTGAGTGGCAAGAAACTGTGCTGCAATCCCAAAGGCATGCAGTTCGAATCCACCAGCTGCTTTGTGGGAGAAGGATGGGCAGTCTCCTTTCGTCCTCTGAAAACTCACTGGGGGGTTAGGTATGGTTTGGTTCCAACTCAACAACAATAGCAACAGTAGTTATTGTTGTTGTGTAATGTAGAGTTGGAACTGACCCATAGCTGACCCTCTGACAGGTTTTCAGAGGCAGGTAATCTCATGGGAGGAGATTGCCCATCCTTCTTCTGTGGAGCAGCTGGTGGCCTTGAATCACGTGCCTTCAGGATTGCAGCACTGCTTCTTACCACTTGGCCACCTTGGAAACCAATACTGGTTTGTCAACAAATCCAATTGAAGTGAATGTGCAGAACGAGTGTCTGGTGTCTGTGGGAGAGGTGGGTCTGGGGAGTGTGCTTATGTGAAACATATACTTGGACCAGAAGGCAGTTATCAGAATAGTGCAAGGCAACACTGCATGGTCCAAGGGTAGGTTTCCTATAAACACAATTAAATATTCTGTGATTCCCAAGCTTCTCAGAGTTAGCCTCATTTTGTTGTGATCCACACAGTCAAAGGCCTTTGCATAGTCAATGAAACACAGACAGACATCCCTTTGGTACTCTCTGCTTTCAGCTAAGATCCATCTAACATTGGATATAATATCCCTAGTGCCACAGCCTCTTCTAAACCCAGCCTGTACATTTAGCAGTTTTCTGTTGATGTGCTGTTCATTGTTGAATATTTTAAGCAGGATCTTGCTTGCATGTGATATTAATAATATTGTTCATACTCTGTTGGGTTACCTTTTTTTTGGAATGGGAATAAATACAGATATTTTCCAGTCAGTTGGCCAGGTGGTTATCCTCCAGATTTCTTGGCGCAATGTGGTGAGGGCATCCAGGGCAATGTCTGTTTGTTGAAATATGTCAATTTCTGCCAATTCCTCCAGAGCATCTTGAACTTCTTTCTTCATCATCATAGGCTCTTGATCATATGCTGTTTCAGGAAATTCTTCTGTGTCACCAACTTCTTTGTGATTTAGTGACTCTTTGTGTGCCTTCCAACTTCTTTTATGCTTCCTGGGTCATTCAACATTCTGCCCACATCATCCTTAACTGTTACAACTTGAGGCTTGAATTTGTTCTTCAGTTTCTTCAGTTTAAGAAATGCTGAGCTAGTTGTCTTGTTTGATTTTCCAACTCTGGCTCTTAGCACATTTCATTATAATACTTTGCTTTGTCTTCCTGAGCTGCTCTTTGAAATCTTTTGTTTAGCTCCTTAACATCTTGATTTCTTCCCTTTGTTTTGGCTTCTCAGTGCTCTAGTGCAATATCCAGAAGCTCTTCTGACATCCATTTTGGCCTTTTCTTCTTCCTTTGTCTTTGTAATCCTTAAACCTATTTCTCAGATGCTCTTTAGATCCATGAGGGGTAGACTTATATACTCAAAATAACAAAATCAATCTACAACCAGGAGAGAGTAAAATAGATGAATGGGACCTTCTAAGAATCAAATCCCTATGCATATTAAAAAACCTTCTCCAGCTGGGGGAAAATATTTGGTAATGACATCTGACAATGAACTTATACCTAAAATTTATAGAATATTTCAGCACCTCAACAAGAAAAAGGTAAATAACATGAAACCAAATGGGTACAGGATATGAATAGACACTTCACCAAAGAAGACATCCAGATGGCAAACAAGCACATGAAGAAATGTTCAAAATCCTTAGCTATCAGAGAGATCAAACAGCTATGAGATATCATCTCATCCCAGCAAGAATAGAAAATAACAAATGTTGGCAAGGTTGTGGAGAGGCTGGAACTCTTTTTTAAAAAATAAACTTTATAAAATTGTTTATGTTATATTGGTTTATTTACAAAGTTTGTATACATTGTGTTTCACACTATCCTTCATTCACTTGTATTTCATACAACCATTCCCATTTGTTATATTTTATAAAATTAATGAACATTAAACTATGCCCACCATTACCCTGTCTTTCCAGATCCCCACTGGATCTTTCCCATTTCCTTTATCCACTTCTTTGTCCACTCATCAAATTGTGTGACCCTGTGATTTCCCCCCTGCCCATACTCACCCCTCTGCTCCTACTCTTTCCCTCCTTGGATCCTCATACACATTTTACTAGTTATCTATTTCTACAATAATGGTCTTATACAGTATTTGTCCTTATGAGACTGAGTTAGTTCACCCAGCGTAATGTTCTCAAGTCCCTCCCAAGTTATGTAGTAATTTTCGAAATCGTTGCTCCCGAGTGCTGTGTGGTATTCCATTGTGTGAATATACCACACACTTAGAGATTGGAACTCTTATTCTGCTGATGGGAATGTAAAGTGGTACAACCACTATAAGAAGGTCTGGCACTTTCTCAAATAATTAGAAATAGAAAGATCCTTTGACCCAGCAGTTCCACTACTAGGAATATACCCTAAAGAAACCAGAGCCACAGCTCACACAGATGTTTGAGCATCTATATTTATTACTGTGTTTTTCACAATAGAAAAGAGATGGTAGCAAGCCAACTGCCTATCAACAAACAAATGGATAGGAAAACTATGGTACATTCACACAATGGAAGATTATGCAGCACTGAATAACAATAAACTCATAAAACATTAAACATTGTGTTGAGTGAAATATCTCACTCACAAAAGGACAAATACTGCATTACACCACTGTTATAAAATAGGACAGACATGGGGGAGCTGGGGAGTGGACATATAATGAACACTACATTGGAACAGATGAGGGGAAGAACTGTCTGAAAGGAATATATGATTAGGCGTTATTTGTATGACAACAATCTGGAATAAGGGGGTGCATTGATTGATTGCAGGATGGGTGGGGAGAGGAGAAGGGAGGAAGAAAATGTTCAACAATGGAAAGAGCACTAAAATAAAACATTTTTTATGTGTTTTAAAAATAATAAAATACAAATTCAGAAGGCAGAGAAAGGGGGGAATGAGGGGCAAATGGGAGGGAGAGTCCAGGGAGGAAAGAAGAGGAGTACTGTACCATCAAGGGACCAATGCCAGAAACAAAAGGAATGTAAATAATAGTTGAATAAAGAAATAATTTGCTCTGTCAAAAAAACAAACCGCAAAAGCCACACAATAAGAAAAAGAATAATAAACATATTGAGAAATAGCACTTTGAATTATAATGGTAGTTCTGTAGTATCCTTCGAGGTAGTCAATACTCTTCTCCAACATTACAATGGAAAGATTTTGTTTCTTCTAACATCTTTATTCATTGTCCACATTTCAGATGCATAACAAGTTATTGAAAAGATTATGGCTTGGATGTACCTTAGACTAAGATACACCTTAGTCTTTAAATGGACATCGTTGCTCCTGAGCACCTTTAAGTGATCTTTGACAGTAGATTTCCCCAATGCAACATGTCTTTTAATATTTGATTGCTGGTACTAAGGATGCTAATTGTGGATCCAAGCAAGAGGAAATTGTTAAATCTTCAATTTTTTTCCCTCTCCTCTCTCCATCTATCATGATGTGGCCCAGTGGTGAGGATTTTGGTTTTCTTGGTGTTGAGATGTAATTTATATTGAGGGCTATCATCTTTATCTTTTGTAGCAAGCTCTTAAAATTATCTTCACTTTCAGCAAGTAAGGATGTGTCATCTGCATAATGTGGGTTGTTGATGAGTCTTCCTCTAATACTGATACCACAGTCTTCTTCATGCAGTCCAGCTTGTTGAATAATTTGCTCAGCATATAGATTAAATCAGTATGGAGAAAGGACACAGCCCTGAGGCACACCTTTCCTGATTTTAAACTATGCAGTAGTCCCTTGTCCTGTTAGGACAACAGCTTCTTGGTCTAGGTAGAGTTTTCTCATGAGCACATTAAAGTGGTCTGGGATTCCCATTCTTCTCAATGCTTTTGGATAAGAACAAACAAATCGGTGTTGTAGAAAGTGCAACCAGGGTGCTCCTTAGAGGCAAGGAGGATGAAACTTGGCCTCACATAACTTGGGCATGTTGTTAGGAGCATGTTGTTATTCCTTGTAAAAAGACGTCATGCTTGGAAAGGTCAGTGAGAGAGAGGAAGACTCTCAAAAAGATAGATAGACACAGTGACTGTAACAATGGACTCAAGTACATCAGAGATGATGAGGACACGAGATAGAGCAGGACCCATTGTTCAGAAGGTTGCAATGAACTGTAGTGGACTCGTCAGCATATAACATCAACAATGACATTTAATTTAATTTACGTATGAACAACATGTAATATTGAAACACTATCCTTTCAGGAATTGTTTAATAAAACGTGAAAACAAAGAGAGAATTGTGAACATCATTCCCTACTTTAGATTTTCATCTATGAACATGCTGAGTGACATGGATTTATGATAAGCTCACTCTGTTTCTCCAGAGCAGTCTCCGGAATAGCTTCCATGGGTGAATGTTATGCAGTTGAAACATAAACGTGAGAAAAATGGATCCCCCTAGAATGATGGCAGTTGCGATGGCAATCAGAGTATGTCCTGGAAATGACAAAGGCGCTTCATCAACATAAATCTGCAACAGAAAAGACATTGAACTCAATGGGATTCCCCTGAGGGTGGTGACCCAATTAATCCCTTAGCAAAATTCTGGGTTAGACAAAATTCAGGTTTAGACAAATATGCAACTGCAAAAGCTTTATTTATTGACAATCCGACAAACAATGCTTTGCACACAATAAATACAAAACTCCCCAAAAGCAAACTTTGCTGTTGTTAGATACCATCCAGTTGAATATGACTCATAGTTGACTCCTAATCATAGTGAGTAGACCTCCTGCTCAGGAGGCTGTAAACTTTTGCAGAAGCACACATGACTTTTCCTGCAGAAAGACTTAAGGGGCTGGTCAGTATCAACTCCTGACCTTGTGGTTAGCAACTGAGTACTTTAACTCCCGCCTGACCAACCGTGGTACCTCACACACTGAACAAGTTCACAGGAGTCAATTCTGACGCAAGGTGACTGACTCTCCATGGCGTCTCTGAGGTTGTAAATCTTTAGTGTAGAAGATTGCCCATCTTTCTCCCATGGAATAACTATGGATTCAAACTGTGGACCTCTTGGCAGCCCGGCAACACAGCACTCTATGCCATCAGAGCACCTCACACAGTCAATAGGGTGGCATTTGCATGTTGCACTGCCAACGGAAGGGTTGGTAGCTCAGATGCATCAGGTGTCCCCACAGGAGAAAGATGGGCAAGCTCCTGCTCATATTTATATGAATAGAAAAACGTTACAGATATATGAGAGAAACTATGCAGCGTATACATGTATGTCGATCCCACAACAGGTTTTCAGAGGCAGAGAAGTGACCTCTCTTTTCCCTGTGGAGAAGCTGGTGGATTCAACCGTTTGGGTTGGCAGTGCAACTCCTTACCACTAAGCCACCAGACCTCCCTGTACATGTACATACATATATACACCATATATATATATATACACCCACCCACACACACACACACACACACCCTCACCCTACATATATGTACACACACACACACACACACACACACACAGAGAACCAAACTCACTGCTATCAGGCAAATCAAACTAAATATTAAGCTGAAAAAGAACCAAAACAAAGACAATTCAAACATACACACACAAACACACACATACACCCCACAAAAGACCATCACTTCTTTTTCTCTAGCACCAAGTGGTCATGCAATCATTTTACCATTACTGGTTATTTTATCACCATCCTGCAGAACAGCTTCTCTCTCCTGCAAACCCAGACCACCATACAAATCTCATCAACTTTTCTTTCCTTATCACTTGGATTGAGACTTAATATATTTCCCTGGCCATCATGTGAGAGAGCGTCTGTTCACAGTACCTGAAATTCTTCCACTAACTTACAAAACGTGACACCAGGAATGACAGACACTTTGAAGTGAAAGAGCTCGGAGCCCTGTGGAAGATACATGCAGTCATTAACACTGTCCACACTCCTGTACCTTCAAGGGTTCATAGGACCCTTTTGATATATTTATATATATAAATGAAACCAAAGGAGACAAGTTTAAAACCGAGAGATGCATAGCTGATTCTTTTTTTTAAGGATAAATAGAAATGTAAAGGAACACGAATATAAAGCCTAATTTGACTTTAGTGAGGTTCTTTTGGGATCATTTTAGACTTCTGTTCTGAAAGGTCTCATAATTTTTGCTAGTTGTCACAATTATCTGAATCCTATCAACTTTGAATGTTCTCATGTTTCAATCTGCAGAGAAGAACATTGAGTCTAGATGTTCTTCACTTTGGGAAACCTCCTTTCAATTTTTCTGCTAGGTCATCTCTTAGTCTTAAGTATTGGTTTGAGAAACAGTTATTCAGTTTTGAAGTCAATGTTCAAAGACTATTGGAAATGATTACATCATGGGAAATGGAGTGTAGGAAGCCATCCCGAGTAGATCTTAACTCTGCCACTGATAACACTTTTTGACATGCAGCTGCCACCCCTGTCCATCTCTGGGACTATGCCTACCTCTTAAATCAGCACCTGTAAATCAACACCTTGGAGCATGCCCCTCCCTCCCTTTTGTAAACTGATAACCTAGGGCTGGGTTTCCTGGCAGCCCGGCCTACTCCACTGCCTATTTATAGCAGAATTCATCAAATAAATTTGGGCTTGATCAGAAATCTTTGTCTTGCCCCAATTTCTCGTGTCCCTGCTCCTCTTTTTAATCCGCACAGGTTCCACTCTAGAACACGTATGAACCCGCAGGTCAGTTTCAGCCTGCGGTTACAGTGGGCGCCCAACGTGGGGTTTGGATTTGTTCTTCAGTTCCTTTAGCTTGAGAAGTGCTGAGCGAGTTTGGCCCTTTTGATTTTCCAACTCTAGCTCCTTGCACATTTCATTGTACTATTTTGCCTTGTCATTCCGCGCTGCTTTTTGGAATCTTCTGTTCAGCTCTTTAGTATCTTAAATTCTTCGTTAGAAATAATAAAAATATTGTTCCTTTTCCTACAAACCGGTTAAATAATTGCTCAACTTTTTCTTCTCCCTTATCATGCATTTCCTACTATTAATAGATCAAAAGTAATAGGATTTGGAAGTACTGAGAAATATTTGTTTAAAAAAAACAAACAAAACCATCATTAATGATCAAGAGTCCTCTCTTTCTGTTAATCAAATTTCTTTTACAGGTCTTGTGGGTATAGAAGGTAATGTGTCTGCTATTAGTAAAAAATAATTAGCCTCTTAATTGGTCTTTGCAAAAAAATTTTAACATTAACTCTTTCTGAACTAGGAACCTCTCCCAATGTTTAGAGGTCTAAGAATGGACAAAGGGCTCAAATGCAATTTTATGTGCTATATACATTAGTGCTAATTTATGGGAAAGAAATTTATTAAAACAATTTGGAGCTTTTATATCTATCCCTGCTTTGTCAGATGCTAAATTCTAAAGTCTTTCCCTTTCAGTAGAAAAGCTGATATAGAACCTGTAACTCTCTTTAAGATTCTCCCTTGTTATTAATAGGACAGGTATTAAAACTCGGAAGAGTCTAAAATATAGGTAAGAATAAGAAGAAAAACGTGTCAACACAGAAGAATGAAGAACAGTTGAGAACAAATAGGAGAAAGATGTTATAAGAGGTCTCAGTGTTTATGTTGTTTTGTTTTTTGTCTGCCGTGTTTGTCGTCTTTTGTCTTATGTTCAATGTGACAATATTTGAGTACTCATACAATTCAAAAGTTTCAGTGAAAGCTAAGAACTAACAGAGACAAATTTAAGTTAATATCTATATAAATTCTAAATATCATAGGTCAGGAAGACCCAAGGGCAGATTTTTCAAATATCTCACGGTGCCAAAAGAGAGTTTTTGTCTCAAGAAATCTTTGAAAAATCAGCCTTTTGGCATTCTGTATCACCTTCATATATCCATGCAGTTTATCCAGTATCCACACATTTAGGTAGAAATTTTCATCTGTTTCAGCCAGTCTTGTAAAATACACATGCCAGTGGCTGGCACTTCAAGTCTATGTGAGTTGTGTGAGTGTACCTGTGTTAGCTGCTGTAATTTAAATAAAAACTTGTAGGAGTAAAAGTAGAAGCTCTCCAAATAAGGTTTTATGGATTCATCCACAGGCTGTGTCTCAATTGGTAAGTCAAAGTAGGAGTCATTACAATGTTTTAACATAAAACCTTATGAAATTATTATCACTTATTATACTTTACAATTTAATTGGCTATATCAATATTGTTCAGAATGAATAATTGCATTAGCCAATTATCCTGGTCAAATTACTCATCATTATCCTAAAGGTAAATTATTATATTTTGCATATAAAAATTCATTTGTATTTCCTAA